TGGAGATTATTTTTTCCTCTTTTTTGTTCTAAGTGGCATAGCACTGCATCAGTGTTGCAGACAGAAAGATTCCAGCACCTGTGTGATCTAGTGCTGAAGTCAAACAGTTTATCTTTAAAAAAAATTAAAAGGGGAACAGATTGGATGGCAGGCATGATTGCTGATCTCCCAGTGTGACAGCACTTCCCACCACTTCAAACACATTAGAAAGATGTTAGCACAGGGAGCACCCCCACATACAGAATACAACAACACAGCCATTCACACAACTAAAAATTGGTCAAAAAATGACACACTCTAGAATGATTTAAAGTAAACAACCTCCAGGCAAATGTTCAAAATAAATTATTCCTGGAAGAAAAGTGTTTTTTCTTTTGCCCTTGTTGTCAAGCAAGGAGAGACGATAGTCCCAGGATGTAAAATGGGTATCACTTGATTATTTAAAGATGCAAGCCCAACATGTTTTGGCTAATGCTTGACAACTTCAGTGGATGTACCAGTCCTTTTTGTTCTTCTTCTCTTTCCTCTGTCCTTACAATAATGTGTATTAGAAAATTAAGTATGATTTTCAATTAAAGGAATGGCATAGAGAAGTTTGGAATATAGCAATTAATTATAAATTACTGTACATTATATTAAAGGAAAGATTTGATAAATATGTTTATCTTTTATTTTTTATCAATTTTATGTAGATGTATATATTTTTAGAGATATATTAGGTGAATTTATTGATTTTGTATTAACAAAAAGGGTTGTGCACCTCTGCAAGAGTCAATATATTTTTGGAAGGGGAATGAGGCTTTGAAAATGGAGGGAAAATTGAATATTTCCAATGGTCCTGGTGTGGGGGAGCACATTGGGCTATAAATATAATTATAGTGGTAATGTGTGGATTAAGTTATTTTATCAGGTTTGTTTATCTATATATGTTGTTTTCGGGGGTTGTTGGTCTGTAATTTTTTTTTTGTTTAATTTAATAAAAAATGTTGTATAGTCAGGAAATTTTGAATTGATTTGCAAAAAACAGTAGTGTTTCCAACCTTTGCCCACGCTTGCAGTACATCATACTCATATCATTTATTGGGGAATCAGGATCTGTTTCAACTTTCTGTAATTGAATGTAACTATGTGTAAACTCAGGTTTCCTACCATTTCGAGCTTGCCTCAGACACTTCAGACTCATACAGAATAGTTATGTGTGGAACAAAAATTATGCATTCAGGTTAAGATTTTTCTCCCAGAGTAACAGCAGGGGATTTTATAATTAAAGCAAACTTATAATAAAGCATAGGCATACAATCTCTTGAAAAGCAGCATTGATGATATTTTGACCCATGCTGCTTAACATAGCATTGTTGCTGCAGACTGCAGTGAGGAAAACAGCTGTGTGGTTGGCACATAGGATTAATACAGTTTCCTACAGAGAAGTGACTTTCCTGTAGGAAACAGTGTCTTGAATGACCTTAGCTTGAAGACAGAAAAGTCTGCTTGAGCTTCACAATCCAGCTTTCATTAGTGTGGAAGTTCCATTCTCCAAAGTGAAACTTGTTCTAAGGTAAGAGTGCACGGGTTTGCCATCTAAAAAGCTTAATTAAAATGCAGAGAGAGAGAGAGAGAGAGACTCATTGTGGACATGTTTACCTAGACTGCAAACCAGATTGTAACATAGTCCTCCTTGGGGTGCAGTGGTTAAAAGGCAGTGCTGCAGCCAAAACTCTGCTCACAACCTGGGTTCAATCACAGATATCTGGCTCGAGGGTCACTTGGACTTCCATCTTTCCTAGATCGTTGAGTATGCAGTTCACTTGGAGGGCAATGGGTAGCCTGTATAATTAAATTGTAAACCACCCAGAGAGTGCTTTAAGCATTATGTGACAGAGTGGTCTTAACCGGCTAGATAGGCGGGATATAAATAAAATAAATAAATAAATAGTATATAAACAGCAAGTTTTGCTTTGCTTTACTTTGCCTTTCCCCTCGCTTCTTCCATCTTTTCCTCTTACCCCAAAGAATCCACTAAGCAGGGACAGAAGAAACAGCTGCACAATGGCTTATGATCTCTAGCACTTTGTAGCTATCTATCTATGTAGTTGCATATTGCTTCCCAGTTAGTCCCAGCCTCCTTCTCCTACTCCCCCTAACCTTCTTTCTGTTCTTTTCTCAGTGTCAGAGATTACATTGTAAGCTTCTTGGGGGCACGGACCTGTGCCCTCTTGTACTCTGTGCTGATCATTCAGTGTATTTGTTTAATCTTGTGCCCCACCTTTCCACCACAAATGCAGCCACTGATACTCACTCCTGGCACACTGATCGTGCAAGGCATGCACATGGGCACCAATGATACTGCATAAATGAAAATATGGATTCTTAAACATGAATTTTCTTCCTTATACTTAAAATCTTCAAGGGAACACTTAACAAAACCTATAGCATATGTGTAACCTGAAAAAAAAGAGGGGAAGTAATTTGTGAAGCCTAGCTCTTAAATCAGTCACAGCAGGCAGCAAGGGGAAAAAATAGATTTTGCCATTCTCTACAGAACATTTTTGGCCTCCACTGGTTCCTGATTACACCTAGCTGAATTTTTTGACTGGTCACGCAGGGGTTGAGATGGCCGCTTTGAGAACTGCTTTTCATCTCCAGGCCGGTAGTCTTTCCTGATGTGAAATTAACAAGTGGAAGGACAGGCAAGCCAAGGAGGGGTGGGGGTGGAATGATGGTACTGGGGGAAAGAATCTAATCTTCAGTCAGGCGGGACTCCAAGGCAGCTAGCGTTAAAGTGCTTTCAGAAGGCTTGTGTCTTCTTCGTTAAGAAAGGTCAAAGCCAATCACCCCAGTGGTGATTTGAAGAAAATAAGATACAGGGATGTTATTAGGGTAATCTGTCACTAGAGCCTTTCTCTTGTCCACAAGCTCTGTCAGGAAATAGCACAAGTCCCATGGCAATCTTCCTCCGCTCAAAATGAGCAAATTTGTCAGTTTTCTTTTCTCCTCCATTTGAATTCCTCAGACCTCAGGGTCCTCTGAATCCCTAATAAGCTATTTGCATAGCATCAAAGGGAGACACAAATGAAATGAACATAGTATAGATGCATGGGTTGATTCTTGAGCATTGCGAGGAGAGAGAGGGAGCATTAGGCCAGGCTATCTTCACCCATGAACAATGTCGTGGTAGGAAAATAGACGGAAAGTAGGTAAAATAGGAACAAAGGGAGATTTGGCAGCAAATGGAAAAATCAACAGAGAGGAGCTAGGCATGGGTTGCTGCTAACAAACTGGAATGCCATTTTTTATCAGAAATGTAGAATCTAAGTTTAATTAATTAAAAAATCATAAATAAAATGTAAAATTGGTGATATACATTAAAAAGAGCATATCCTAAACTGTGTAAATAAATGTAGAGCCAATTCTCACACTAACTGAAGGTCACACTTTAAAGATAGCACCCTATTAGGAAGGAAAACTTGTAAGCACTGAAAGACATCTGATTGTTACCGCACTCGTTTTCCATTCCTTCCCTAGTTTTCAGATTAGCTGTGTTTATTTTGCCATAAGGAGGTAAACTTAGGCTTTGTTTGCAAGTCTGATTGCTCAGGCATGAAGATCTGCTAGAATGTCCCTGCCGTTTAGGGGTTCCAGAGGGACCCTTGCAATCAGGGCAGGGCTTTGCGGACTTGCCCGGATGGCCACACGACATTGTAGGCCATTCGTGAGAACAGCCAAGGCGATCACAGTTCTGGAAGGAAAGATGCGCTGAGAGCGCACCTGGACCCACAGAAGGCACAGAGAAAGAGAGGAAAGATGGTCCGGGGAAAATTGGAGGCCACCAGTTATCCCTTGGTAATAAAGGGGGATTAACTGAGACCTAAACCCAGCCCTTTGGTTGGTCAAGAGTCAACCTAGAATCCAAGTGGGAATTTGAATCCGCACTACAGCAGGACCCCCCCTTTGCCAAAAGATGGGCAATGTTCATGTAAATGGAAATGGATTCCAATAAAGTGTGGACCATATTTAACCCATTCACCTGGTCTCGTGTAGTTATTTGGGATAAGTGGGCAATGACATCTGTGGACCATGGACATAATTTTACCCTCTAACAGCATGTTATCTGTAATGTGGATTTTGGCCCAAGCAGTACTTCTAGTTTTGTATAAATGCAAAAAGAAAGTGTTTCTTTGCTCAGTTTGCAGAATTTATAGCCACAACTAATACCAGATGATCACCACTAGTTTAGATGGATTTTTTAAAGGACTGGGCAAATCAATAGAGCAAAGGTGGGGAACCTTTGACTACTTAGCTGTAATGGATTCCAGCTCCCATAATCCCTTGCTGTCGCTTTCCTGGGTGTAGCTGATGAGTTGTAAGATAAAATATCTGGCAAGCCAATGCTTCCACAGCCCTGCTGTAGTAGCTAGGAAACATCAATGGCTATCTGTCATTAAAAATATCTCAATTATACATTTTCAGAGGAGATACTTGAGGTGGAAGCATCTGACATATATGATTTGTCTCATCTCTCATCCTTTTCTGGGTGGGGTGAAGTCTTGTTGTGAGCAGATGGGACATGTTGTGGTCATGTCAGACCAGACATTTTCCTTCCCTGATCTAAGCTGGGCACTATAAGATTCAAGAAGAAATTGCTTTGAATATATACAGTTTAACATCAGTAGTAGGATGTGTGTTATTTGTTAAGGCTTCTCTAACTATCTTATTTTGCTTCATCAGGAATGGCCGACATACAGCTAGATAGATACAGAAGACTGGATTGTCACAGCTTAGAGAAGTCATTTTGGGGGGGGGGGAACTACCACTGATAGAGTCCCCCCCACTAGAGTGTGGCTATTCTAGGAGCTGTCATTCCAAAAAGTAACTTTGTCCAAGCTGTGGATTAGAGGAGTTGATGGCCTGCTTTTCTGTAGTTCCCTCAGCTTTCCAAATTCTTCCATCCTCCCTCTATTTGCTTTCCTCACTGTTGTTATCATGCTCTGTTGTTCTTGCAGGTGCCTCAGGGAGACTGGAATAACACGTTGACTAGGGACAAGGACAATGAAATCCCATGTCGGCGCATGCGGAGTGGCAGTTATATCAAAGCCATGGGGGATGAGGACAGCGAGGACTCTGAAACCAGCCCGAAGCCATCTCCCAAAACTGCAGCACGGAGGCAGAGTTACCTCAAGGCCACTCAGCAGTCTCTGAGTGAACAGAGCACCACCCAGAGGTACTCCTTGCTCCTAACTTCAGTTCTGCTTGGTGTTACATGAATATCTGCCTCTTTGCCATGATCAAAATAGTTCAAAAGAAGTAAGCTATAAACTACTGTAGATCCGTTAGCTCCATTCTCAAGTGACTGATAGGGTTCAGGTAGGATTGGAAAAGTATAGACCAGAATCAGTGCAGAGAAAAATGCTAGCTGGGAGATTTTTGGCCTAAAAATGGAATGTTTCCAAATTCTGATTGCAAGGGAGAGCCATCAACCCATACCATAACTTCATTAAGGCAGGGGAGCTGAGGGAGAGAAAGAAAAAATAAAGCTAGGGGAGTGGAAGCCAACATAAGGGCGTGGAAGCCAAAACAGGGATGTAACTGAAAGACGGGTGAAATTCTTTGCATGTGATCAGGCTTCTGGCAAACAGGGTCTACTCTGCCATTAGCTTCAAGAGAAAGATTTGGGGTGTTATGGAACCCAAAGGATAAAAAACCTTTTTCAACCCAAAGGCCAGATTTGATTTTAGAGATATTCTCAGGAGCCACATTCCATGGGTGGGCAGAGCCAAAAATATGGCTATATGGCATTCTGTGAAAGCCCAGGATGGCCAAATTCAGCCCCAGAGCTTAAGATTCCCCATCCTGGTGGTATAGGAAAGAGGGCAGAGAAGGAAAGGTTTAGCAGAAGCAAAGACTTTAGAGGCATGTTGATTCTGGCCTGGTAGACTACTCCCCAGGAAATGCGGCCATCAGCTGAAGAATGGCTTCCCACCTTGATATAAACATGACCATTGCATTGCTTTCAGGCTTCCCAGAGGCATCTGGTTGGCCATGAGGGGTGGGATGGCCTTGTGGACTGGGCAGGACCAGGCTTTTGGTCTGCTCCAGAAGGGACTTCCTTATGTTCTTACTGTAGAACATGAGAATTCGTACAAATATGTTCCACTTAAAAAGAAAAGGTTTATTTCTCTGGGCATTCCTAATATTTTATTTTACCAGTGGCTCTTTAAACGTTGCCTTCATTGAAAGGGTCCCTGACAGTTTTGTACCAGTTAAAGGATGAATTAGCAGCTGATTGCTAGATTGCACCTCTTTGTGCTAAAGCAAAAACAAAAATATTAAGACACCTTTGAGAGTAGTGCATTTATTCCAGCATAAGCTTTTGTGGATTGCAGTCCCCTGCTTCTGACACATCACACTCCTCACAAGCTCACAGTGAAATACATTTGCTAGTCTCAAAAGTGCCACAATACCTTTGCCTCTGATTTGGCTTTGTTGTTGCAGAAATAGACATATCTGAAGAACATTAAAGCAATAGAACAATAACTTTAGATATGAAAAGTCCTATGCATTCTTTCCAACCTTTATTTTTGTTCTGCTGTTCTGTTCTGGGGGGGAGTCTTGATTCAAAAAGAACTTATTCAAACCCCTGCAAAAAACAGAAGTCATTGATGGCTGTGCTAAATAGCCAATAAAAGAAAATAGCCTGTCTTAAAAATGGTAAAAGAGAACAGTAATAATGTAAGCCATAGTGCCATCTATCGGCCCTTCAAGGAAGAATTTAAAAAATTTTGCCAATAAGAGTCCCCAGTCAGAGCACAGGCATTTGTTCTATAAAACTCAATTCAAGCTACGATTATACATCCTGGGTTGTTTCTTCCTGTCACTGTCAATGATTAACCATAAAATGTTCCTCTCATGACAGATTATGTGGATTTATTGGTTTATTTGGGAGTTTGGTTGGATGCACAGCCTTAGACAGAATTTGCATATTTGTGAAACTTGAAACTAGGATGACTGATGTCTTGCTGTTGCATGGGCACAGAAGCAGTTGATGGGGTATTTGCATCTTTGTGAGCAAACAGCTTTTTCCCCCTTTTGAAATTTTATTTTAAATATATTACTTGCTGTGAATGCACTTTGGGTAAAGGCACTAGTTTTTTGCTCCCATGTTTTGTGCAAACTGTGGGAAACACAACATGGAGAACATTTTCATGCTATGATGTGGAAGGCAAGAAGTCTCACAGGCGCTGGCAAATTCTTCACAGACTGTCTTGCCATGTCAAGACAGCCTGTCTCAGCCGAGAATTAAGCAGCTGACCTGCGTTTTGAACATGTCCTAGTTCAAGCCTCTATAATACCAACACAAAAAAGACTCACAACTATCCTATCCAAGAAGTCAGAGGAATATTTATAAAATTTCATTGTGGGTTTTTATTTTAGAGAAACACTGGTAGATATAAACAGAAACTAACAGGTCTTGAATTCTGAGATTTCCCTTTAAAATAGGTTGTAGTCAATAGAGCTGGCCCTACTATTAGGCAGTTTAAGGCAGCCATCTTAGGTGGCAGATGCTGGGTCACAACAGCCAGGTCTTGGGGAGCAAAGTTGTGTCTGCGTGCCGTGCAGGCTGTTGCCCTCAGGTGCATCCAGGGGATCATTTCATTTCCTTATTTACGTATACACGTTTCCCCCTTTGGGGGACCCAGCAACTTACGATAGTATACATTTTAAAAACAGTATAACCAAAAAGGGATTATGATAAATTATAATAAACAATAATATAATACTTTCACAAAATGACCACTGGTCACATGAGAAGAGGAATTTCCCACATCCTAGAGTTTTATAATTGGGGATTCCCAGAGAGCCTGGGTTTTTCTTTCGTGCTTGAGCTGACAATCTCCTTCTACTCTGGGTTTCCTTGTTTGTTTGTTTGTTTGTTTGTTTGTTTGCTTGCTTGCTTGCTTGCTTGCTTGCTTGCTTGCTTGCTTGCTTGCTTGCTTGCTTGCTTGCTTGCTTGCTTGCTTGCTTGCTTGCTTGCTTGCTTGCTTGCTTGCTTGCTTGCTTGCTTGCTTGCTTGCTTGCTTGCTTGCTTGCTTGCTTGCTTGCTTGCTTGCTTGCTTGCTTGCTTGCTTGCTTGCTTGCTTGCTTGCTTGCTTGCTTGCTTGCTTGCTTGCTTGCTTGCTTGCTTGCTTGCTTGCTTGCTTGCTTGCTTGCTTGCTTGCTTGCTTGCTTGCTTGCTTGCTTGCTTGCTTGCTTGCTTGCTTGCTTGCTTGCTTGCTTGCTTGCTTGCTTGCTTGCTTGCTTGCTTGCTTGCTTGCTTGCTTGCTTGCTTGCTTGCTTGCTTGCTTGCTTGCTTGCTTGCTTGCTTGCTTGCTTGCTTGCTTGCTTGCTTGCTTGCTTGCTTGCTTGCTTGCTTGCTTGCTTGCTTGCTTGCTTGCTTGCTTGCTTGCTTGCTTGCTTGCTTGCTTGCTTGCTTGCTTGCTTGCTTGCTTGCTTGCTTGCTTGCTTGCTTGCTTGCTTGCTTGCTTGCTTGCTTGCTTGCTTGCTTGCTTGCTTGCTTGCTTGCTTGCTTGCTTGCTTGCTTGCTTGCTTGCTTGCTTGCTTGCTTGCTTGCTTGCTTGCTTGCTTGCTTGCTTGCTTGCTTGCTTGCTTGCTTGCTTGCTTGCTTGCTTGCTTGCTTGCTTGCTTGCTTGCTTGCTTGCTTGCTTGCTTGCTTGCTTGCTTGCTTGCTTGCTTGCTTGCTTGCTTGCTTGCTTGCTTGCTTGCTTGAGATACAAGTTTTATCTAAAAACCTCACCATCAGAAAACATTATTATTACATTAGTCAAACATTCCAAGCCCAGTCCATCAAAATTATAAAAACATTGACTGGTATTATATAACAGATACAAGTTTTATCTAAAAACCTCACCATCAGAAAAACTTATTATTACATTAGGCAAACATTCCAAGCCCAGTCAATCAAAATTATAAAAACATTGACTGGTATTATATAAGAGACACACGTTCTAAGCAAAAAAACCTAAGTATCTGTTAAATATTTATGTAGTGCATATGCTGTTCATAATATTGCTGTTGGAGATAGGCTTAGCACCATGAATCTGAGGAAGCAACTGCTTTCCTTCTGCTTCAGAATTTGAGCGGGACAAGTGCAAGTGGCTGTTCAGCAATCTGTAGGCTGAACGTGGAGCCCCACTGCCACCCAGTGGCCATGTGTGGCTTCTTTTTTGTGGTTTGGTGCAGATTAATGTGGTAATGGAAAAGCTGCCTCAGATGTGCTATTCTGAGACGAGGAAAAGCCACTGTTTCTTGGACTGCAGTTTCCAAAGCACCGTGGTCAGTGTGGCCACATGCTGGCTAATGGTATCTTGAGAAATGTAGTAGAAAAACAGTAACTTTTTCCATTTCTGGACATGAAATTAAAGTTTTGGTTTTGTTTACTTCATATATTTAAAATAATGGGACTGAAAACTTCTGGGAGAAATGTAACAACTGAGTGGACTGCAGCAGGTGAGTTTTTTTATCCCTTTCTTCCCCAGCTGCAGTCTTATTTACTCATGGTGCTTTGAAACTGCTCTTTCAATTGGAAGAAAATCCCCCATGGATGTTCTAAAGCACTGTACATTTTATATTTTCTGTGATATAGTTCCATAAATGAATTCTAAGTAACTGTTGCACTGTATCTGCTTTGATCATATTACAAGGGAGGAAGCAGCACTATTTCACAAAAATTGGTCATGCTGCCATATGTTCATTTAAAAGCTGGCTAAATACTAGAACAGTGTTTCCCAACCTGGGGGACACAAAATATTTTCTGGGTCGTGGGTCACCTTATATGTGTTGTTGTTGTTGTTTAGTCACTTAGTCGTGTCCGACTCTTTGTGACCCCATGGACCAGAGCATGCCAGGCCCTCCTGTCTTCCCCTGCCTCCCAGAGTTTGGTCAAATTCATGTTGGTTGCTTTGATGACACTGTCCAACCATCTCATCCTCTGTCGTCCCCTTCTCCTCTTGCCTTCACACTTTCCCAAGATCAGCGTCTTTTCCAGGGAGTCTTATCTTCTGCTCTTGTTAAATAATTTATTCCTTGATCTTTCAGAGCAGGATATTAAGGTTGATTTGTATGTGTATGTACAAGAAACAGACACTTCCGGGGGGGCGGGGGAGAAGCCTCTGCTTTCTGAGAAGGGACGATTTTAATCCCATTAAAAATGCCTTTTTATGCAAATGTGCCAGGAAGGTCGCAGGTTACTTGCCTGTTATAAAAGGTGGTTACAACTCAAAAAAGATTGGGAACTAATGTGCTAGACAAGACCAATACAACAATTTCTTAATACTTTATATTATCTTAAAATAAAAACTGAAAGGAGTCACTCTTTAAAATGCCATCTCAAAGTGCCCCCTCCCCCAAGAAGCATGCAGGAGAAGACCTTCTCCTGGTTAGCTCCCAGACTATGGAACACATCCCCTTTTAAACTGTGATCTGTTTCCGCTGTGACTCATTTTAAACAAAGGACTAAAATACTTGTTTCTAGAGTGGCATAGGATGTCTAACCTGTCCTGCCATGCTTAGTGTCTTTGTTCAATTTGTACGGTTTTATGGTAGGGCTGGTTTATATGATTATATGACTACCGTGTTTCCCCAAAAATAAGACAGGGTCTTATATTAATTTTTGCTCCAAAAACACATTAGGGCTTATTTTCAGGGGAAGTTTTATTGTTTACATGTACAACCATCTACATTTATTCATATTTCATGTCATCTTCTTCTGGTTGCTGCACAATGGTGGAGGGCGGGGTTTCACTTAACTGGGGCTTATTTTTAGGGTAGGGCTTATATTACGAGCATCCAGAAAAATCATACTAGGGCTTATTTTCAGGTTAGGGCTTATTTTCAGGGGGAAAGGGTATTATCATTTTTAGCTAAATATGTTTTTATCTTCCTGTATTCTTTTTAAAAGCTTGTAAGCTGTGTTGAGCACTATGGTGGGGGATGGATGGATGGATGGATGGATGGATGGATGGATGGATGGATGGATGGATG